TGTTGCCAGCAAAATCTCTGTGCTGACCACATTAAATCCAGTTACAAGAGTAAATTCCCAACCAAAATGCATTATTTGAGGGCATTTATGTCAGGAATGTCTGGCGCAGCATCTGATGAGGTGCGAGTCATGTAAGTTGGAGATGTCATTACGATTGTCGTCACTAATTTTAATAGTTGGAATGCATGAAAATATTGGATTATTTGCAATTTGTTTGACCACTAATTTTTGCAAAACAAATCCCATGTTTTTTGATATTTGGCTAAAGTGAGAAAGCGATGTTAATGTCAAAGTGAATTGCCTTTGTAGTTGCAAATGCCATCATAAATTTATATTACTTTGGTGTGGATTGGAACACATCAAGCTCTTCTGAAATGCAAAAATTCACATTAAAAGTATTCGCCAAAACAAAAAGCATAGTAATTCAGATACTGCCAATGCAACGAAATGCTATCTAAATTGGAGCAACAATATAAAAGCCTTAACTATTCATAGCACTTGGAAACCCCTCGTCTGTCACCAGCACTACATGCAGTGAACGCGGTCAGTGACTGCGGACTTGGTAACCTCCATCAACCTGACAGGACACCCAATACACACACCCACCACGTGCGTTGACCCTGCTGCCTTCGTCACTCGAAGGCGTCTGTCCCCAATTCTTCACTTTCTCATTGCTTGGATATTGGTCTGATTTGTATGCAGACATGGCCCGCGACAGCATAGAAACTGCAGATCAAAAGCATTTACGAACCAGACGAAAACAGTGGCAACCCGGTTAATATCACATGCTGCCTGTTTTGCACCAGGGTCAAAGGGCAAATGCTGACTCCCACACGGCAAGACATGTGACAAAATGGGTAGAATGAATGGTATTTGTGTGAAGTACTACGATGGGACGAACACTAACCAAGCGCTCCCGGAATTCACAGCTTTCAATTGTCAAACACACAAATGAAGTTCCCAATATTGTCGCAGCATCAGTGCACACGTCTCGCGGATATTTGGGATTAGAGCTGTCATGGATTTTCATATTTTGCATGAGCATCAGCGAATTAAGTATATTCATGCCATTGACTCACGTGTGCAGTGGTTACCACTGCACGAAGGAACAGCTGTTGTTGGGAATCGGGTTTAGCACCTGACATCGCATCAACCGCAACTGTCGGTTTAAATGATAAATTAAATAAACCAAATTCAGTGGTGGATTAAAGGGTTTTTCAAATTATCAGATTTTACTTAGTGTAAGAAATAGGAACTTTCTAATACTTGCCTCTCTTTTCTAATAACAGACAAGCTACTAGCTGTTCTCCTTTACACGTCTCTCCTATTCACCATCTCACAAGTTTTCCAACTTGCTTTCAGTTCATATAGCATGATATTGTGGATTGATGTCAACACCATTGCCTGAGGTTATGGCGATTTCGTAAATAAGGATACCAGACTGTGACTCCTTCCAATGTGTTGAAGGTCAATAGATGTGACGAATTTCAAACGGCTTTTAGGCCACAATTTGAAGGCAATTGGAAACAAATCTGTGCAGTTTATTTTGCATTTTAATGCATTTCGTCACTTGAGAAACCAAAGTGAGTGACATCGGATCTCGTAGTGAATAAGTACTAATCTAATGCACTCAATTGTGCATTCAGTCCCTTCCGGATTTCAAGGTCACGCCCTGGACAGTCAATTTTGCTGCTTCATCGAAGAAAGTACGCCATAATAACACATTCCTCCTAAAATCCTTCATTATCTGGAATAATTTCTCCCAAATCCCGTCTGGAGGACGCATAGCCGAAACTACAAACATATACGTAGCACTGGCCTGCACCTCCTGCGTACACAGCAGCGCATCCGCCGGCGACGGCTACAACTTCCAATCAGTTCAATTCCTCTAGCTTCAACGCACAAACCGCAACTTTTATTTGCAAGTATATTTTAACGTCTTATAGCGCTTCGTAGTTTAGGCCGCACACCTGGCAAATTGTAAAGACAGAGGCGACGATAGGCGTGTTGACCCAAACTTGCTTACCTCTCCTCCAGCTACATCAACTTTTTCGAGTATCTTTTTGCCTTCTTACCTTCAAGCCACATCACAGAGAGCGAAGATGACGTCCGGAGGAGAATCAGCCCTCCTTCTGTCCTCAGATCCACTATTATCCTCAGTGTGGTGACAGTGAAGGAGAGTAGGTGCCACCGAGACCAGCGACGTCGCCGTAGCGAGTGTTCCCTCCATTTTGACGTTATGCGTTTGGCATCAAGTGCTTCTGTTCCGTATATAGTTGGAGTAAGAGCAAGTTTTTGGTAGTGTATTAAGTGATATTTCATGTTGTTATCGGTTTGGTACTTTAAGTTGTGATTACATATGTATATTTGCCGTGAAATGAACAAAACTTGTGCGAATTTCTCACCGGCACTGTCACCGCCTTCAGGTTTCATTCGAGCAAATCGCGTTATTTGTTTGGCATCGCATTGTTCCATTTTCCATTCATCTTAAGCTTGAGCATTTTTTTGCATTGTTTTCTTGTAATTAAATTATACTTTTTGCCAATTATATTGCTAAATAATAAGACGTGGAAACGGGTATCGCCATTATATTGGCTAATCATGCTTCTATTTGTTTGCACTTGTTGTAGTCTTTCATGAAAATGTGGAAATCCTGCAAATGAGTCAATTTAGCGTGTCATGAACCAAATTTATGCCTTCTGTATGTAGCGTGAAATGTGATAATGCTAAACGGAATTTGCTGTTAAAACAGAGGAATTATCCCCCTTTTTTCCTACTGCTCTTTAATCACTGCTGTGATATATTAGGCTATCTCCAACGGAAGGTATTTTTGCAACGCAAAGCAGAAACCGTTATGATATGCATTGATTGTACAAATTGATCTTGTTGTTAGAACCTTGCTCTTGTAAATCTAGTCAAACGCTTGGTGCCCGCAGTCGTTTCAGCCACCATGATGGCCTTAGACATGAAAATGAGAAGAAGAGGAAAGGTGCACATTGAGGAAAATAAAGGAATGCTGTTCTTCCATTCCTTGTAAATGCTTTGCTGCCATGTGGCAGTCAACAGTCCCTACTCCATTACGAATCGCCTATACCGCCGGCGGAATTAATCCCTTCATCATAGAGCTTGCCCTAAAGCCTTTACAGCCTTTGCTTTTAATGCGCAGTTAACCTCAAGGAGGGCATTTTTTCACCACAACGGCGTTTACCATGGTGATGCAGTATGCAATATGTCCTTATTAGTGCACTTAGGCGTATAGTTCTCCCGTGTTATGTTGCAGGCCTATCGGAAGGGGAGGTGCTGTACTTCCTAGGCCCTAAATGAGGTAATTGGCTGAAAGGATGGTGGCAACGCTGGTTGTGATTGGATGGCAAGACTATAGCAGTGTTGGCACCTGCTTGCAACAAAACTCAAAGGTAAAACGCATTTAAAACACTTAGGGTCTTCGATTGTTCTGCTCCTGGCGTTCAGAAAAAGGATCGCCAAAAGAGATATGACCTCCATTAAGAAGGGGATCGAAACTAAGACACTATCTATATTTTGTGACAAGGGATCGAACCATGCGGTATGCTACCAATTTTTCAGCTAGACAAAAAATTATTTTCAAAATTGATGCCAATTTATCAAGTTGGAACATCATTCGCTTACCGCGAGGTCAACTAAGGGCTGTTGCCAATGGAGTTATTTTAAATGTGTTATCACATTTCCATGCTTCACCCCAGAGGTGAACGTCTATGTCTCGAACATCGTTTAAAAATATTGCGAGATTAAATCTGCAATATGAAGCAATCCTTAGGTGCTACACATTTCCCACCATCTTCTTTCCACTTTGAGGCAATTTACTCGCACAGCCTAACTATACACTGCTTTAGGTCCTTCTAAATTTACTGCTGATTGACACTTGACTTGATGTGATTAGTGATGCAGTTCAAGTGCTTCTACAGTGATCTTGCATCCCAGTCAGTCAGGAGTAGATAGGCTAGTGCAACACTGTGCAAGGATTTTCACAAAAAATATATACAGATATAAGGACTTTTTGCAAAAACCCTAACATGGGGTTGCTGACACAAAAAAAAAACAAATTAGCAATGCATGAGAAGCAGCATCTTCTTTAGACGGTCCCGCCTTAACTCTTCTTCTCACTTTATTAAACAAATCTTATAAGGGCTGCAAAATAGAATGCTTTGTTTTGATCTGCATTATGGGTATTCTTACATTAAGGTTGTATGATTTCACGTTAGGGGTTATGGAATCACACTTTGCATTTGTTTGTGCTTAAAAAACAAAAACATTTTAACCATTTAATGATTAAAAAATGTAGGATATTAACGATTAAAATAAAAGCATAAATCTACCATAATTTACATATTTTCACGTACTTCATTCACCGCCTATATTTTTCATTTCTGTACTATTCTGGTCTGCTCTGCTTTATTCCATTTTATTTCTCTTTGATCCATTACAAAAGTAAATTTTACTAGAGTTGAGACTGAAATGGCAAGAGGAGGAGCTCGTTTGGACGAGAAAGCCTCTGCTACTATCGAGTCACTTTTTTAAGTAAACACTTACCATCCCCAGTGTCACCACCCAAATCGTCTAGTCATTCAAGGGGACGTCATTTTATGCCCACAAATGTGCTTCAGGCCCACAACTGCAACTGCAGCCGCGCACAGGGTTCTACATCCGGTGTCATCCTTTTTGCGGCATCATTGATTATTGACAGAATAATCAAAGATTCAGTTTATTGATTAGTAGCACGATTAATAAATTGCACGACCAAATTGCACCTTAAGGGAAGTTCAAATCGCTCCCAAGTTGCTAAAAATATGCACAAATTTCGCCCCATCAGTCAAAGCTTAATGTAAGCACGTACGAATTTGCTCTTAACACATCCTTGAACAAGGTGAAATTCGCTACCAATAATTGCGAAGACAACATTGATTGATAGTGGCCATTTTATTTTTGGTAGTATTACTGTTAGCACTGAGACATAAAGTTTTGTTCACGTTTATCACAATCTCAAGTAAGTGATTCGCAAGTTGATCCAGATGAGGTTTGGCTGTTTGATTTGACGTTTGCCGTGCGCCTGGTACTCATTGCAGAGAAGGCCGCTGTCTATTTTCGAGGAGGTCAAAGGCCAGCCAATAAGGTGGGCAACACCGATCTCCGGCTCCTTGTAGTTCAACGCCACGTTAAGTGAAGCTACGCCCACACCCCGGAAAACGAAGCAAACAAAGTACTTCAACAAAGTCACCAGCATCATTTTTACGCAGCCATCACACATTTCGACAATTCTTTAACCGCTTGAATAGATTGGTTTGATAAAAAGTCGCAGTGCCCACAAAATACATTTAGCGCATTATTGGTTTTACAGGAAAGACGTTTTTCATGCTAAGAAAATTTAGCAAGAACTCTCTTGAGGCAAAATTCAAATTATTAATTTGGATCAAGCGTTCCAAGACAGATAATAGGAATCACCAACAAAACTTCGAAATTTTTGAATACACTTATCTGCAAAATAATTTTCTGTCAATAAAGATTTGGATAAATTTATGAAAAACATGCCAATCAAGTGTGACACGAATTTATAACTGAATGTCCTAACAAGTGATGCCTCCCAGCAAATCAGAGCAATAAAAGATTATGTTCACAGGCGCTTAGGCAGATAAACTTGAAAAAAAATCATGAAAAGGCTGGAAAATGCCGCATATGAAACTTTGCTGCTGCAGATATACTTGCAAAGTCGAGAGGCCTTGGCAGAGAAACAGTCGTGCAGTTTACCGAGAGCAACTTCACAGAGGCAAAGACAGCTCCATTAGGCACTGATGGGGTCAGGCCCTAACTTTAGCGCATTTGCTTGCAGTGAAAGAGAAGGCGTGATGGGAGGCGTAATTCGTGGGTCTTGTGCCCTAACAAGCAAAAAAGGCGAAAGGTGCACAAATAAGAAAACATTGATATTTGAGGAGGTGAAGTAACAAAGGATCTACAGAAAGCCTGCCAAATTTGAATAACATGAAACATGCCAGAGCATCATGTGAGCTGCCTCACACAAGAGCTGGAGTGAGCGAGCAAACTCCCTAATGCCTATCGGTTCTGGCACTGAAAGAATAAAAAAAGAAAACAAAGCAATTTCTTAGTTCCTCAACATTTGTCATCAAGGCTCCACTCTATACGGTCTGCTCCTTGCTAACAAGGCACTACTATAAGGCGAAACTGCCTTGCAAAAGCGACGCAGAACACCGGCAGAGAGGACGCAATGCCGGGTTATTGAGCACTAATAAAGTGAAATTCAAAGCTCTGTACATGGCCCTTTCTCTCTGTTCAAGCCACTGTTGCCATGACGCACAAGAGAAATGCATTATTTACACACCAAAGGAAAATAGCATAAGCCTTAAGGCCTAGTATTTTAGCAACGAAGAAAAGAAAGTGACGAAACCGTGCGTTATCGCTTCTACCTTCCACAGAGCACCTGTCGACAAGAATTTACTCTATGCCAACAAACCCAAAAAAAGAAAGCAATGCTGTAGGGAAGGATTGCAGAAAGAAGTGACAAAGCTTAAAGAGCGGTGTTGCGTTGGAATTTTACAGACAAAAAAAAATTGAAACAATTATAATTAGATAAAGAAACCTTAAGGCAAAAGCAATTGCAGTTAGGCGATGTTGTAGGTAGAGTTGAGACACACAAAAGTGGCAGAATCAAAGGCCAGCAAAACTACACATAAAAAGAGGAAATAAACGAATATCGTGAGGGAGGAGAGACCAAGTGATGGTACGTGTAAGCAATAATGGGAGAAAAACACGGCTCCGCTGTGCCCTGCTCCGCTATACCTCGCACGTTGCCACCGCCATGGCTTCCCATCACACTTGCAGCATTGCAGCACTTATCAAATTGCTTGCAAATCGGCGTCTTAATTATGTTTTATATGGTGACCGTCTTTCACCACTTGCTTTTAATTACACTGGAGAGTACCTTTGAATGTAGAGGGCTTGGAACCCGATAAAAGAGATGGTAATACCTCAGCTTAAAAGGTGTCACCTTGGCTTACACACTTCGTGTACTTTGATCAACGAGGAAAAGGATATTTCTCCCTACGAGTTTGCCTAACCTTACATACTTCTTTGTTATTTGAAACCACGTTAATAATTGCGTAAAAAATTATAATGTACCAACAAAAGCATTGAAGGAGCGAGACAAAATTGTCGAGACATCATCACGGCTTGTAAAGGGAGAGTCAGTGAGCAAGAATGGAGAGGGTGCGGAATTTAGGCAGGCTTGCGCCATTCTTCTCAAAACAGCTGCCAGAAGAAGGTGCAAATCCACCTGTCGTCGATTCTGGCTCAGGAATTGTTGCAAACAAATTAGAATTGACTACAATGAACACTGGAGACGATACTCAATGCTTTGGTACGAGCGCGTGGACACTCTACAGTAGCGAAATTCGCCGTGTACCTCTTCTACTACCGATAGTGATTAGTTACGCCGATGAAGGAGACAAAAGAGGTATGCCAATAATTACGCGCCAAATATTATTAAAAAGGTGCCAAAGAGAGACCCAGTTATCGTACAAAGCTTCGAGCTTATGTTTCATCTTCATGGCCGCCGTCAAGCAACAAATGAATGTAATAACAGCAAAAAAATCGGTCATCAATCACTGTGTTCTACCGTTACGACATGACCACTGGTGCATTTCCTCTTTGCCTTGATGAAAATTTTTACTAAGTTAACCCGCGGCGCACGCTTTAAGCGAGACATGAAAATATACTTAAAGACGTCACACTTTAGAACAGCCCTTTTTGGAAATTATTTAGCAAAACTCCGCTGACAAAGTCTTTCTTAGATTTCCTCCCTCATTCCTTCACCTCAAATTTTTCAATAGAATTATGTGGCTTATTTGCAATTGGTTGATTCTAACTCTACCTCCGCATATCCGCCTAAATATCAGAATCCTCCATTCTTTACTAGATTCACTTTTACTCCTTTGCTTACTTGGCCCAGGAAAGCCAGTAGTTCCTTTCTCTTGTAAGCTTAAAATTAAAGTTTTACAGCTAGTTGCAGCAATAACTAATCAATGCTAAATCCTACCTTTTCAGGTTGGTATGATTCGCACATTAGCCTAGGTTGACACTATTTTTTACCTAATCGCATTATGTATGTAGCGTCCCGGGACTCCCTGAAGACGAAAGAAGCCGCAATACTCAGGCAGAATATATATATTCAGCATAGAGAAGGTGTTTGGGGTATTGGCATGGCCCACAGACCGGCCCACCCATCGAGGTACAAGAAGGTTAATTCTAAGTACAAAAGTGGCGCCCCACCAATACCGAGGGATCAACCACTACCGTACTACATGTATACTAGCACCAGGAGATCCTTCACTTTCACTCTGTCAGTACCTCTGGCTCATTCCAGGTCCACCAACACCTAGGTTGCTTTCGCACCAAGTCGTGAGTACATGACTGCGCGAGGGTGACTGTTGTGGAAAAGTCATTCACTTAAGAAATGCACTAAAACAACTAAAATATTTTCAATTTTTAGACTAGTAGTTGCAAAAAATAACTATAAACGTGTATTTGAATGAATTTTATTGTAAAAAGTCACATGAAAAGTCGTTATGTAATATTAATGCTGTTTTAATGTACCTTTTAGGGAGGAGGCAATCAGGACATTCGAATCTCGTGACCAGATCGTCCTCTTCCGTACCTAGTGACTGCGGCTTCCCTCCTTCTTGGTTACAGCATTCAACTTCTATAGTCGATGCATAACCGCAGACTACCGACATTCTTCTCTACCAGCGCTATAGGAGAGGCCCATGGTGACTTGGATGGCTTCATGACCTCATCACGGAGCATCTCTTCAACCAGATGGTTTACTTCTTCCAGCAAAGGAGGTGGAATACGTCTATGTGGTTGCCGGATAGACCTAGCTTCACCAGTATCAATCTTACGCTTGACAATATTTGTTCGTCCCAGTCTTACACCTTGCCATGAGAAGATGTTCGCATACTTAAGTAGGAGCTGACGGAGTTCTTTTCTCTCGTAGTTGGAAATGTGAGTCAGCTGCGCACAAAGGTCATCCAGATTGTTAATGAGAATGGCTGCAGCTTCAAAAAAGGCATTGCAGATGTCATCTGCTTCGTCTTTCGGTGGAGAGGTATCTGTGTTGACCCCGGTGGCTTCGTGAGTGGAAAAGGTTCCTTCTGCAAAATTTAGGACGGCTTTGGTGCAGCGTAGAAAATCGGCACCAAGTATTACGTCCCAGGCCAGTTCTGGACACACGATGAATTTTACTGTTCAAGTTGCCTTCCCTATACAGACTTTTGATGGTGTCCCTCCATCGACTAGCATCTCCCTTCCCTCCTCTGAACGCAATTTTGCAGAAGGGGAGAGGATCTTAACCCTGTTACAAAGGGTAGGGAAGGCTGCACCGCAGTCGAGAAAACTACAGGAGCGTCCTTCATGTTTACCAGGAACCCTCATATAAGATTGGGAGCTATTTGGGAGTAGACAGGAAAGGGAAAGGGAGGGCTCACCTGGTCTAGGAGTATAGCGCGGGGAAGCACGGTACGAGGATGTTGCATTTGACCAGTTTCGCGGTTTCCGGAAAGTCGGGGGCCCTCGAAGTTCCTCCTGCTTCTTAGTTGCGAGCTTGACCAATCGGTCGAGCGAGTTAGTCTTTGCTTCGCAGAGCTTCTCAGCCAAGATGGAAGGTCGGATTCCGTGTTTACACGGAACCGTAACCCAATTGGCGATCTTGCTTGGGGGACAGCCGCGGAACGCACGTTTCCCCAGGAGATAAAGGTTCCTAGCGTACTCTTCGTCGGCC